TGTGTTATGTTAAATTTTTTGCACCTTCAATTTTGCGATATTTTTTTAATTTTTATTTTCAAAACATGTATCATTTAGAATTTTTGCACTTTTAATATTTTTTTTAATGGCATTCATTTTACACTTTTAATTATGTATTTTGCCTTTTACATTTATTAATAATAATACAATTAATCATAACAAATAATTATTATTAATAATAATTTTTTGCACTTTTAATGTAATAGTTAAAACATTTTTTCACATTTCATTTTGAATAATATTTTGTACACTGAATATTTTGTTTTGCACTTTTATTTTTTGTATTATTGTTAATATCACTTCTAATTATGTATTATTTTGAAAGGTTTTGCCCTTTAATTTTGTATAATTTCAACATTTTTTGCAGTTGTAATGCTGTATTATTTTCATTTTTGGCCCTTTTTTTTTTTGCTCTTTTAATATTGTAATATTTTGAATAAGTGCACTCAGTAATGTCTAAAAAAAACACGTTCATGAAGAATCCTCACACATTTCTGCGCTCTGTTTACACCTCATTCTCTGTGATTTCCAAAACGTGTAGCCGCTGCGAGGACACTAAACCTTGAGGAGAACTTGCCCTCCACCGGTCCCTCCCTCTCATCCTTCCAGCATGCTATGACAACTGTAACCATGGCAACCCATCATCCAGCGCACAAATCCAGATCAGGGCTGGAGGAGATGGAGTCTGAGGGTAGGACGAGTTTTTTATCGCCGGCTGCAAAAACCGTTTCAGTAATTACAACTTTCTGAAATGACTGTGTGCTCCTTCTGGGCTGCCGAGGGGATAATTTTTCTTAATTCTGTGCAGAGGAGCAGGATGAGGACGAGGAGGACGAGAACTCAGAGGAGTCTGTGGAGGAAGACAGTGAAGAGGACCTCACAGAAACGCCTAAAACCTCCTCCACGCAGCCTCCGTACAGCCTCATCCCTCCACCTCCTGTCTGGGTTCAACGCAACCAGGGCCTGAGTACGTTTGGTTTTTAATTTTTAACGAGAATACAACATAACAGGCTGCTTTTAACGCTTATACAATTACATGAAAAATACAAGACTGCACAAACACACTTATACTAAAACTGCCGCCTGTAAAACACACATAAAAAAAAGAGTCCTCAGGTGTACTAAGCTGCTAAATGTATGGCTCTTTTCTTCCAGTGCGTAGCTGGGTAGAGCTGATCAGAGAAAAGGTAAGACTGCCCCCTGCTGTCCTCACAAAGTCCTGCTTGTCCAACAAAAAATTAATCCATCATTTTAACTGATACGTTGTTTACTTCTGTGCCTCAGAGCTTTGAAAACCACATAAAATCTGTCTTTATCAGAAATATTGGCTCTTTGGTTATCTTGACTCCATACCACATAAAAAAAATGAACTATTTAGTCCTGGTTGAGCAACTTTTATGAAGAACTACAGAGCACAGCTGGTTTAAAGAATCACCAGAGACTTTTATCGATACACAGAGCAGCCACAACATTAAACACCTGAAGTAAATAACACTGATTAACCCAGTTACTATGCACATGCCAAGAGGTGGGAGATATTCTTGAAGATGATGTGTTGGGAGCAGGAAAAGTAAGACGAACTAGACGACTTTGTCAGAGCATCTCCAAAACAGCAGGTGTTCCTTGTATTTAGCGGTTAGCAAAGGCGGTTCAAGGAAGGACAACCAGCGAACCAGAGACATTAGTCATGGACGCCCAAGGCTCACTGATGGGGAGCGAAGGCTGGCACATGCTGCTGTAGCACCAACTGCATGTTAATATGATATAAAGGTTTCAGAACACATCTCAGTTTGCTGTGTTTGAAGCTGTGTTAGACCGGTCAGAGTGTCCGTGCTGACTCCTGTCCACCACTGAACTGGATCACGAAGCAATGAGAGGACGCCATATCTGGTTTGATGATTGAAGGTTTCTGCTACATCGTGTGGATGGTTGGGTTGGTTGTTTACCTGGAGAACAGATGGCAGCTGGATGTTTTATGAGTACGAAGGCAAGACAGAAGAGGAGGTGTGATGCTCTGGACAGTGTTCTTCTGGGAAACCTGGAGTCCTGCACTCATGTAGATGTTCCTTTGACACCTAAACACTGCGGTAGACGAGGTACACCCCTACATGGCAGCAGGATCCTCTTGTGGTCTCTTTCAGCAGAATAGTACTTCCTGCTACACTGCAAACATTGTTCAGGGATGATTTGAGGAGTTCTGAGGTGCTGACTCAGCCTCCAAATTTCTCAATCCGATCGAACATGTGGGATGTTCTGGAAAAGAAGTCCGATCCACCTCAAAACTCTTTGGACTTGTTGCTAAAGTCTTGGTGCCTGAAACCACAGAACACCTTTAGAGGTCTGTGGGGTCCAGGCCACAGAGTTTAGAGACGGGTCGTACACAATATACAGTATTCAGTAGATGGCTTTAATGTTGTGGCTGATTGGTGTACATATGTAGTTACAGATGGAGGTAAGGATAAATGGATCATTCTTTCCATGAAATATTGTAATATGGCCACAACAAAAATACAGAATCACACCAGTCACAACCATTAAAGGCTGTTTAAGTCACGTTTCTCCATCCAGGCAAGTTTACCATGACTGTCTTTCTATAATTTGGCCTATTAGAGGTATGAAGTGGACTTACCTGGAGTAGAAATGCTCCCTTTTATTTGACTTGTGTCTTCACCCTCGACAGGCCGGCTACGTATCCGGCATGTTGGCCCCCGTGGGCATCGGCATTACGGGGGCTCTGCTGATTGTCGGCGCCCTCTACAGCATCAGGATGATTCACCGCAAGAGGAGGAACAGCTTCAAACACCAGAGGAGGAAGGTCAGGCAGCCAGAGGTCAATACCCCAGCCGCTTATTACTCTCGTTGTCGCACTGTGTCCAGCGTTTTCCTTCACTCTAGGACGCACTGAGTGCAGCATTAAGTCGATTTCTTTCCTCCACAGCAACCTCGAGAGCCGGGCACCAGCCGCCAGGACCAGGCCATGCTGCTGGCCGACAGCTCCGAGGACGAATTCTGACGAGGGCCTTTCGGGGCCTCTTCTATTGGTGACCAACAGCCGAAGCTCCCGCAAGGGAGGCTCGGCCAACATCCCCATCGCTACGACTACCGCATCTCCAATCACCCCGGCCTGTTTGGGTATCTGATCCACAGAATGTGAACGAGTAAAAGGGCACAATCAGCTTTGTAACTCCTTCCCTCCCTTCTTTCTAAAAGTACCAATGTGAGCACTTTTCTAAATGTTGTCAGGCGACTCTCCCAAGGCCTGGTTTGGCACTTTGACATGAAAATATAGTTCTGCTGCTCTTAAAAACATCAGCAGGGATTTATTAGACGTGAGAAAGTGTTGAAGTTTTGCAGCTTTGTGCAACGGAGGGGGAACACGAGAAGGCGTTCTGTCAGGTAATAAAAGGGCTGTAGAAGAAGAGCTGCATTACGTAAACAGTGTAGATAAATGTACTGTACGTGTAGCTGACTTGGGGTCAGTTGTGTTAGTGTAAATAAAGTTTTATTTCTTGTTGAACATGTAGGATACTTAAAGGAATAATTTGTTGTTTTTTTTTTGCTGGGAGTTGGATTAGAAGAGTGGTATCATTATTATCTGACTGTCAGCAGGGAGACCGTCTCTGTCCAAAGGTACCAAATCACGCCTGCCAACACTCGATTAATAAGAAACTTGTTTCCTGTTGTCGGTTACCTTACAACAGCTAAGCAAAAAAAACAAAACACATACTCGTGACCTTTGGAGGTGCTGGCAGGCTGCTTTTATTACTGCTGAACAGAAGCTGCTCCGTTGCCAGTCAAGGGGTTGACCGATTATCGGATCGCATATGCTGCCTTTAAATGATCTGTTTACTGTGTAGGATCCATATGAACGCCTCCCTCTTGTGGTGTTCACAAACTCGTATGTAGAAATCCTCCGAAAGCCGCGAGTGCACCAGAGTTTGCTGAAGCTTTCAGAAACAGTGAACCCCGTGGAAGTTGTAAACTAATATTTTATCATTTTGTTCATTCAAGCTCTAATGTCTGAGGAAAGTTCTGATTATTCCCATCAGCCCTATTTTTTAGCAATCCTACAATTACACCCACGTAGCTTTAGTTAATATGACGTCCCATGTGATAACTACAGAAAGAGTCCACATGATTTTTCTTGTGGCGTTTTCCAACATCGTAAGCAAAAATGATCCAAAAAGTACCTTCCAGAAGTTCCAAGTTCACGAGAGTTTGCTGACGTTTTGAGAAGTAGCAAAGGTCACAGAAGTTCAGTTCTTGGTGGATTCTAAGCTAATATCATGTTGCTCACACAGAGCTTTCCTTTCTCATTATGACATCTGACCAACATGCTGATATTCTCAACATTACATGACTTCCCATGTGCTACTTACAAACTCTTGAGTTCCATTTAAAGGCAGCCATCGACTGTAGATTGAAAAAAACCTTGTAGATTGACATTTTGAAGCACTGAATTTGGAATTTAGGCGTCACTTTCTTGGCATTTTAAAACCAGATATGATCAGAGTATACACTTCCATATGGTGTCATGGTAGCCCTGCCCTTAAACATACCCTGCTTTATCATCTGTTATCCTCTAAATGGGACCATAAATTACAAAATTAACACCGCGTCGTGTTGAAAGAGGTCTGAAATTAGCGATTGAGTCCATAAACGAATCAGAAAAATATCTACTGAGAGAACACATCAAGAGAGAAGTAGCGTCATTTTATCATAGACTTCTATACAACCAGAGGAGTCGCCCCCTGCTGGCTGTTAGAAAGAATGCAGGTTCAGATCACTGCCGCATCAACTTCACATTTCAGAGTGTTACCGGATTGGTTATATATCACAAGTGATATCCTATCGACTCTGAAAGATAAATGTTTTGATATTAACACATCTAAATATAAATTTCAAAAAAGGCGTTTTGTGTTATTCTCAGTTTTGACACCAACATTTAGATTTTTACTGCAAATTTATGTCAGTTATCAACCTAATTGATTGCAATAACCATACTGGTCGGTCTTTATTCCAGTCTCTTCTTTAGCTTCGCGTTTAACCGACAGATATCGAACTTCTCATCCAACTCTCGGCAGGAAAGCGAATACAGCTTTTAGAGTTCGTCACATACAGTTACTTTGAATTACTGCTTGGTTTAAATGTGAAATCTGTGGAAATGCAAATGTTTTATTCAAAGTCATTTGTTCATAGACTGTGAGAAGCACATACAAAATACCATCATCCTATAAAAGTATGTAGCATAAAACAGATTTTGATGTACAATATACTGTAACTCTGGTAAGAACTCATCGCCACTTGCAAAGTTTTCGTTCTGTTTCTCTTCTAAGTGCATGATTATTCATACACAGACTGGTTGCAGAGGCTTCTCCCTCAGGAATGAAGCGTATCTGCTGGCTGGAGAAGCACAAACACTGAAGACAATGGAGCAGAAGTTCATATTTTCACAAGTTAAAGATTTTTTCTTTTTTTTAGCTCAGTTTGTACACTGGTGTGGTTTTTGTGTCCTAATCTGCTTCCGACGAGGGCAGACAAACGTTTTGCTCAACACTTTTGGCCCCGAAAGTCACGCTCACATGCAGCAGGGGTTGCGGTCGGATTAAGATTTAAAACTTTTTTGAGAGAAAATAAAAATATCCAGACAGAAAAAGGATTTCTAGTGATTTGAGCCATATTTGTAACACCAATGATGTTATTTTCTGTAACTCCATGAGCCATCTGACATGCTTAACGTAACAACTGCCTGTTTATATGCAATAATACTGTTCTAGGTGAATGTGATGTAAAATAGTGGACACTTTTTTTCTTTTTTTGTCTCTTTATGTAGATATGAAACAAGGTTGTGATCAAAATAAACGACTCTTTTAGATTGTGACTCTTTCTCGAATTGTGACTCTTTTGTTTGTTTGGGAAAACCACTCCACACAGCAGCAGACAAGCTTTACAGCATTAAAAAAATCAAATAATTTATTTCTGTGTTCTTTTTCCACATTAAATAAAAGCTATCGGACATTTCCAGATCAAAATCAAGAGAGGGGACAGGGAGGAGGAACAGAGGGAAACAGACATGCAGAAAAAAAAAAAAAAAAACCCTTTTGCTCTACCCTTTGCACACTTCATGGATGGCGATGGAGGCAGGCGCCCCAGAAAAAGACTGCAGGAAGCCCCTGTGGTTGGTTGGTTGTGTTGTGGGGGACCACTGCTTATATAAATGTTAATTATCTGACCGACAAAACTGGTTTCTGGAGGGGAGGGGAGGATTTATAAATGTAGGTCAGGAATAGCACAGCGGACGTTCAGGATGAGGAAATAAACTACTGCTTTGAACACTGAACTGGCATGTCAAGTCAAAACTGATTCCAAACGCAGAGAAAACTGGTAATGCAACACCACAAGCCGTGGCTACAAACTGATAAAAGATGACGAAGCCCTTCAGTCTGTGATCATGATCCAAACGGCTGTAATGCCCATAAACCTCGTGGTACTGCCAGAGTTTCACAGGATTGAGAGAGAGAGAAAAAAAAAAAAAGATGCTAAACAGACTCCTTCAAAACACCTCCTCTTCCTGACGGCCCGTTTGAAAGAATACGTTCATTTGCTACCCATCCAGTCCTTTCGTCAGCGTGTGAAAGAAGAAAGGCCTGAACAGTGAGAGAACACAGAAAAAAAAAAAAAAAGGAGAAGCGAGCGTCCAACACAGGGACAGAAGATTGAATGAACCAGAAGGAGTTTGAACGGGGTGATAACAATAAAAAATAAAAAAAATAATCTAAACAGTGTGTGATGAGCAGCAAAAGTTCGGGGTTCTAGATTGTTTCGCTCATCGTTCTCACAACAACACCTCCGGATGGGCTAAAGTAGCACAGAAATTAAAAATAATCAACCCAAAGTCGCCCCCAAACCCAACACATGATTCACCAAAAAAAAAAAGAAAAAAAAAAGACATGCTCTCAATATATCCGATGAATAGAACAACACTCGTATACAAATCTGAAAAATAAAAGAAAAATAAGTAATCTGATCCATTGTTCCAAACGCACACAGACACACGGACAGAACTTTGTGTGGGTGGCAACTCCGTAAACATTTACTCTCCCTTCCAGACGTGGGGATGTAAGAGCTCAGCTGAACTGCTGCCGGAACAAAAAAAAAAAAAAAGAAAAGAAAGAAAGGGGGAATAAACCCAAAACGAGTTCCTGTAGTGTCATTCAGAGGGATTCTAACTGTTTGCTGGAGACTTTTGTTTGTTCCGTTGCCATTGTTTGTAGCCGACTTCACACGTTTTGCAGATGGCAGTGTCTCGCGGTGCTTCCACTTTGAATACTGTAGACAAAAGCACACGCGTCCAATTGCATATTTTCGGGGCGCTACAAGCTCGAGGTGGGCGATCGGGTGATTTTATATTAGGAAGCGTGCTATATGTAAGTATTTTATTTTTACAGCTCAGTAGCTGCTAGACTCGCCTTGTAGTCGTCTGAGGTTTCCTTTCATGCTGTTGGTGCTCATTCAGCCGCCTCTCCAGCGAGTCTCTCGTCTCACCAACAGACTCCAACAGTCCTCGTTCTGCTCTACACTGTGAGCTGGAGAACCACTTCGAGCGTAGCCTTGCAGGGACAGACCAACACCCACAGCGCTGTGTAGTATGGTCTGGCTGCACCTCATTATTAATCTGCTGTAGGGGCAAAAAAAACAACACTATTATGGTTGTAACTCTATCAACTAAATACAATCGATTGGGTGATGTGAAGCCCAGGATGCAGCGATGGTGCCCCTGCAAAGTAGTGATTGTTTTGGTGGAACCTTTGCATGTCGAGAGCCGAATACTGCCTTGTTGGTTGTTGTGTCCCATAGTGGAAGGGAGTTTGAAAACGGTTACACCCAGGTAGTTGAAGAGGACGAGAAAGCCGCCTAAAAGTCCACATTCGGTGAGTCAGACTACTCCTGCCAGAACCTGCAGCAGGTGGAGAACTGGTTCACAAGCTCACTGAGGCTTTGGAGCAGAATAAAGACACCGAAAAGTCCGTCGATGAGGCAGCTGAGCGACAACAACAGCGACCTGTTCGGTCTACAGGTGGAGGAAACATGAGGCGAGATGGGGCTAGCTTGTTAGCAGCGCAGATGCAAGTTACTACTTCTGATTTGAACTTTTAGACTAAAATAAGCATAAAAACAGGACGCAGAGACGCGTGACTTGGCCCTCGAGCCTCATTTCACTGATTACGTATCAGAGCAACCCTAATCACATGACTTCCACTAAACCTGTGAGGAGAACTGTGATTCCGACTGTGATCGTCACATGATGGTCTTCATGTGATCTTTTATCCGGATCGCCCACCCCTGCACAAATTGCATTTACAACCTGTGATAAAGGCTGCTTCCTCATTTGCTTTTAAAAATAAAAAAAAATAGAAGCAGATTCAGGGTTTATTCCCCCTTTAGCTATCATCCTGTTCTTCATTCCTTCTCTACAACATCGAGCACGAACTTACAAAAATAAGTGTCTGCTCATGTAACTAACGAGTCCTGCCGTCCTTATTAGATCAGAACAAAACGCAGCACCACAAAGGCTCTGATTTTTCCTGCGCGAGGAATCCGAAAGCAGAGAGATAAAGTCCAACAGAACAGATCCACACCACTGTCAAAACAGCACACACACACACACATTCGTACGGACACATACACACTGCAGCAATTTCCAAAGAAGTGCATCTGACCTTTGTTCATTTTCACCGTTAAGAAAAAACACACAAAAGCAGTTGAAGCAAACTTTCTTTGCCAATTAGTGTGTGCTGGAACATCCGGGTGCATCTATGACGAGTTCCAGGATCTCAAAAAATGTTAGCGAGGTTGGCTGTGCATCAAGTTAGGGCACCTGGGAAGTGCATTGTGGACTCAGCCGCTCACGAGCAGCGTGAGGTTATACAGGTGTATAGTAGACAAATCTAAATAAACTGAAAGCAAACGAAAGAATACAATATAATCTGCTAAGAATACTCGTCTATTTTCCTTTTTTTTCTTTTTTAACATAAACACACACACACAGCAAACAGGAATCCAGCATTCGCAACGCTTCGCCTCGACCTGGCGCCGACGTGTCGCCCGTCGGCAGGCAGATCGCTGCAGTCGCGGCTGTTAGTGCTGACGGACCGAGTGGCACTTGCAACGAGGAGATTCAGGATAATAATGTTAATTAGTAAACAGAGATATCTGACCACACCGTCATTGGCAAGGAGTCTCTCTCTTTGAACGACACCGTTTTTCTCCTTTTTGGAAATTTTGCAGTGGCTGGCAGTGCGTTTAGGGGAAAAAAAAAAACGAGTTCTGATCTGCAAAAATTAAAAATTTAACTCCTCGACCACACCCACATCAGGGTTCGATTTAGTAAAAGGACACTGAAGCGGAAAAAGAAAAAAAAAAAGGTGGCAGATCCACAAGTTGGGCAAAGTTTGAGGTGCTAATGGAGTGATTTGTTTCTGCTCTGCACCAACATGCTGACACCAAACAGAGGAAGGAGCCTCAGACTGGGTTCATCAACACACTCCTGCACTCACATTAAAATAAATGCATGCATATCTTTACAGGCTTCAGTCCTGGAGGCTGAGGCAGGTGATGGAGGAAGAAGCAGCAGCAGCAGCAATAGCAGCAGCAGCAGCAGCAGGAGGAGAAGGAGGAGGAGGAAGAGGGAGGCGCTGCATCCACTGGACACGATGGGGAAACAAAAACACACACCACAGCATGCGCTCGCACAGTCGCACAAACCACCCGCAACCGCATTCACTCGAAAAATAGCCACTTGCTGTCCAAAAAACACACGAGGCGGTACAAACACGCAGTCATACCGTAGCTTTTTTTTTCTTTTTTCGTCCCCCGCCCAAAACTTACAAGGTTAAAAAAGAAACACAAAAATAAACTCCACAAATATTTTCTTCCCAGTCTGTGTTTTTACCGCTCGACTTCCTTGTTTTCACGCGTTGTTGTCGGCTTTGAGTCAGTTTTGTCCTGCAGGATGATTTTGGTGTGGTTGCCTCGTCCTCTCGGGAATCCTCGCCTGAGCTGCTTCGCGTCACCCGTCGGCGAGGCGTCCAAGCTTCAAGGTCAAAACGTCATCCAGTCCCCGGTCAAGGTCGTCCCAGAGACCGCCCTCGCTCGCTCGCTCGCTCGCCCCCGTCCTCGTCACAGAAAGTATCAGGGGCCCCTTCATGAAAACATCTGGTGGGATTTTCAGTCCATTTTCTGCCTAAACAACAGTTGTTCAGAGGTCAAAGGATAAAAGGAGGGTGTGTCTGTGTGTCTATGCATACCTATGTGCATACTCCTTATGTTTGTACACAGGCGTGAGTGTGTGTGTGTGTCTGTGTGTATGTGTGTGTGTGTATTTGTGAAGATAAGAGCGAATGACCAGGGCAGAGCTGAGGCTGTCAAGCTGATAGTGTTCGAGGTGAACAGCACCTGCTGTCCCGTCGTCCTCCGTCCCCTCGGATTTCCTCTAGCGGAGCCACAGTTTGAGCCGCAGCGCGTCCACTCCGTTCAGGTAGTATCTGAACAGCCGCTTGTCTCTGACAAAACCCAAGTTCTCATACAGCTTCAGGGCTGATTTGTTGGTGATCTCGGTCTCCAATACAACCTGTGGACACAAGGAGGGACGAGTCGGTGAGAGGATTTTTGTGACGTTCACTCATTTTGAGAAGCTGCATTTTTACTCTGCAGTTGTTTCTGGAGATGAACAGTCGGAAAACATTGTTGGAATGAACAACTAATCAAATCGCAATTTGGAACGATACAATTAGCAAAGGCTGCAATTGATATACCTTTAGCAGTACAGAAAAGAAACTGTCATGTCAGTGGTTTTACACATTCCTGCTATTCTCCTTGAGTGGCCGTCATGCTTTGAATGGTATCTCATGGCAATGCTGCATCACATGTTTACATCTATTACACCCTAAATACTGAACTGAAACATGACTTTAAAAAATAATGACGCAAATAAAGTCAAAAAATGTGTCACAAAAATTACAATTCTACATTTCCCCCTATTCATTCAGCCCTAAATCAAATACAAGTTTTGCTGGTTCAGTACACTGATACACTTTTCTTATCCTAGAAAGTAGAGAATAAACAAAAACGACTCTAAACCTGCCGTAGCTACACTCCTCATCTTGTTCGCTCGCATGCTGCCACTAGAGGTGGAACAGATCGAGTTAAACATGTTTGGTTCACTCGTCAGTTCGAGGCGTGTATTCATGGACGAAAGAAATGAGCCTACGATTAACGCACTGAAACTTCTTCGTTGGCACTGATGAAGTGTTGACTGCAGCTGTCAGTCAGGTTTAGAAATAACAAGATGAGTTAGAGAATGTGCCAGCATCATCTCAGGTTTGGTTTTACCGATGGCAGCGAAAGAAAAGCACCGGTGGATTTAACAGAGACAGTACAACGCATGTAGCTAATGCTAGCAGTACACGACGAACCGCTTAAGAAGACGTCATCTGAGTGTTTGTCCTCACAGCGTCAGGAGGAGAGAGTCGTGTCGGATGCAGCAGAGTTGTTTTGAACAGAGTGTTCAATGTGGAGATTTGTTTTTATGTAACTATCACAAAGCTGCCTTTTCTATTTGCACTAAATACAAAACCTCCTCTGCTAATTGAGATTTGACCCTGAAGAAGATGAAGTGCTTATGGTTTAGATGTTCTCAGAATTTTGTTCAAAAGCCACACAGCGGTTGACTTTTTCCTTTTTTGCTGCATTAGATGAAAAGCATGTTGCAACGCCCTCTCACCGAGTCCTCTCATTTACCAAAAAAACTACCAAACGAAACTGATTCTTGCAAACCATTCCCCCCCTACTGGTCCTCAACAACACTCAGAAACTTTCTGTACTTGCGAGAAGGGATCATTTAGGGATATTTTCTGTGGGTACATTCGAGGAAGATCTGATATTAAAAGCTATTGGGAACACTGAACCTAAATTTAGTCGTGCAGAGGCCTGGAAGATCTTTAAACATTTATGATACCCTTTGAAAAATAGTTGGCAGTTTGTCAGTGTTAAGGAAAACCTTTGGTACATATATGCTTTTTTTTTTTTGTTTTATCTTCCCTGGACACGTGTACTGCATTCCTGTCCATAATCAAAATGCAGTTTTTCATATGGAACCAGCACCAAAGTTGAAATATATGCAGCTCACGTACTTTCTTTTCTTGGTCTTTACGTATTTTTTTTACACAAATTAGAGAACACATTCTTTGAGTGAACACATTCAGCATGTAAAAATGATTAATGGGGGCGAACCACAGCCCTCTGATCCCAGCCGACAAAGACAGTAAAGAAATGCTAGCACTGAATCTTATTTCTGCCTCGAACATCTGCTTTCTTTCAAACGATTTCAAGGAAACAGGCTGAATATGTGGCTGCTCGGAGAGAACCGAGGTCGCAGCCAGCTTAGAAAAGTGAAGGACAGAGCAGGAAAAGTGGACCTTGAAATTAAAACTGAGTATTTTTTTTTTTTTTGCCTTTCAGTTCATTCGCACACACGCAACCTGCAACAACAAAGAACTGAACGCCGACAGCACAACACGTCTCTACTCATTTATCTATGAATTATGCATATTTTATTACCGAGGACGCTGGCGCACGGCTTGCAAAAGTGTGCCAATGTCAGGAATAAATCTTTTGTCGTGGCTGCACCCATACAGAAAATGTCTTAAATAAAACACATCATAAATGTCTGAATGTTTAAAAACTAGCTTACCTCGTCACAGTCGCCTTCCACCATGGCGTAGATGGCCTTTTTCACCAGATTAGTACCTGAAACAGAAGAATACAGTGAGTCCAGGAGGGAAACAACACAAAAAATTTGAAGGAAAAGACCTCATAATAATGTAACGTACAGCTTTCCCTTTAGGTTGTTTTCACCAGATAAACAAGGACAGACTTTGAACTCCTGAGGGCTGAACTACGAAGCGAGATTAGCGGGTTATCGAGGTGTGTTGAGCCTAAAGTCAGACTTTTCTGTGTCACGAATGTGGCTCTCTCCATGGTAACTGATGCTGTGGAGCTAGATCTCCATGGTACCTGATGCTGTGGAGTTAGATCTCCATGGTAACTGATGCTGTGAAGCTAACCTGGTCCGGAGCAGGTTATGTTCAAATTAAATCGGCTGGAAAAAGCGTCTCTTTAACCAAATCGTTTCCTGATGATTTTTTATGAGCGATACAGATTCTCAGCTGACGGAATGTGTTTTATCTGCGCTGTGCGTTACTAACATCGCTGAATAAAGCCGTACAGTTACAGTATCGCACACTGTAAACACTGCGTTGCTATGGGAACTCAACACGTATTTAGTTGGTGATGCAGAAATCACATGTTTTTATGTTTGGTGCGTTTACTCTGCTGGTACTGGAGCTGATAAAACAGATTACAAAATGAATTATTCTACTGATATTTATTACACAAAGTATTTGATCAGTAATTAATTAAAACATTCATTTTGCTTTGATTTGGCCAAAAGCTAAAGTGACATCCTGCATTATGGGACAGTGCCAGACCCTATCATCATGTTTAAATATATGAAGTTTCGCGGTTTAATGTGCAGCTGTCGGTGAGAAATGAGCGGCTGCATCGATCGGTAAAATAAACATACTGGTCACGTTCAACAGTTCTCCACCAGCATTCCTGTCTTGCATCACTTCCAGTCGCGGCACTTTTTACCGTCATAAATGTTTATGTTCCTCATTGTTCTCCATTGTAACAGCCTGTTGCCTGAAGCAGCTGCAAACGATGGTTTCATTTTGTGACACGACGCCCTTTTATGTGAACAGAGTCTGAAGCAGAAAGTCTGAGTCGACAAAGAAAGCTGAAAACCACCTTCGTGACACCTGTTATCTCCGACTGGGGCTTTAGTTTTTGTCGAGCCGACTTACACAAAGAAAGTCTGGCTTTGTCAAACCTGCTGTGTCGTATACCCCTTTGCTTTCATGGTAAATGTGCACGTTGTACACGACATACAAGCCACTACAGCAGCACAGAAGCAAAGCAACGTCGTACTGCTGATCAGGTTTATTTATGTGGATTCTAATCTAATAATCTAATAACATCCAAGACAGAAGAAAAAGAAAAAAAACACTTTAGAGAGAGACAGAAAGAGGGACAGCAGCTAAACATATTTCATTCATCTAAAAAAGTCAGTATCCGTGTAAGTATGAACTATATTTAGATCATTTTCACTGCTTTCCTTTGCCGTCACACAGCTCTTTCCAATGCGGAGCTGAAGCAGTTCAAAGCCACCAGATTCCTTTGACAAAAGCAGCGATTTCACGTCACAGAAAACAGAAGTCGCTGATCTACGTCTCCGTCACTCAGTTGGCTACGTTCTTATTGTGTGACTGAGGCAGCAGTGCACCAGCAACTCCAGCAAAAATACCCCAAATAGAGTGTGCATTCAAACTGACACTGATATTTTTAGGTGGCCAAAAGTTGTTTAGCCGCAGACTCCATCCACCTCAGCCCACTGCTGAACTTCACTCACAATTATTTTGTCTGTTTCTCAACTGGGGGCTTACAGACAATCATCTACTGCAGATAACACACCGACTATGGATAAGCACCTCATACAACCCCGCTTCAAAAAATCTGAACTTTGATAACATAACACACTGTGTTTGTTGTCAGACTCTCTTTCTGATAAGTCCGTCCTCCTTTTTCTGGGTTGCTCTGCAGTGCAGGCAGTTGTTACCGCTGCTGCTGCTGCTGCTGCTGCTGGAACAGCAACTTTTCCTGCCGGATTTTAGATAGATAGACACTTTATTTGTCCCCGTGGGGAAATTTGGTTTGCAGCAAAGTCACATGGTGCTTCATCACAATGAACAGAGCCACCAGTGGTCATAGACATACAAATACAGCATATGTTACAGCAGATTAGCATGACCAGCTGGACATCCTACTTATCATTATGTGAATTACAAGTTAAAAAACTTAATGACTTGAGGAACAAATGATAATTTAGATCCGTTTTCAGTTAATCAAAGGGGGCGTTATCGTCATGGAGGTGGGGGGTTTCTGCCACTGAAACAGGGCATCTAAAGAGACGTCTACATTTGTATAAATGTCAATAAGAACAACGCCCTCTTACTGAAAGGCCGCGTGATTGGACAGCATCATGGGCTAGACTTTCTAAAGCAGAGAGGAGGTGCAGGAGTCTTTCTTGCTCATTACAATAGGTGGGTTTTCCACTGCAGGAACTTGCGGCAGGTGTGAATCTTTACAGGAACCGCCCCCTAATCAGCCCTTTCAGCTTTTCTTTTTCCACTGCAGCGTCGGATCCGAAAGCAAAATATCGAATAGTATTTACTGGACATAACTTCATTTCTAAAAGCAGATAAGAAACAGAACACTGCAGGTTTGTTATGTTGGCCTGTATGGCGTAAAAATGAAGTGATTTGTTCCGTCCTTGTTCTAAACTCTACAGCTTTTATCCCAGCTGCTCTTACTAGAGCCAACTCCTCTGTACGTTGTTGACGACGATGTTCGAGAGGAAGAGACACAGCGTTCGTGATCCTCTCTAAGTTTAATCAATCAGTGATCAGCATTGAGCCCCGCACAGCAGTTTTTTAGTACCTTCCCTAGAGTTGGCACTTTTTTCCTCGCTTGAAAACAGCCCTGAAGGAGGTTCTACAGGAGCAGCTCCCGCAGTCAGAACATGCTTAAAGGTTAAAGCTGCAGTAAAGCAGCTCTGCAAGTTCCTGCAGTAGAAAACAGCCTCAAACGCTGAAAGGTTATTATGAACGTATTGCTCCAATGACTTTAAAAAATTACCGCCTACCGCAGCTTTAAGTTTAAAGTTGCATCACACAACCGCTGAGTGTGTGTGCTTTATCTAAACGATGCATTTGCATAGAGATGTGATTGCCAAAGGCGGCTCGTAACAGTGTAACACAATATATTCTGTGCCGAGATCTCACCGATGCTTTTCCTTCTGTGTTTCGAGTCCACAGCCAGCATGGCGATGTAGCCGCGACGAAACATCTTCTTATGCATGTCAAGCTTACATACAATGGCTCCGACACACTCCTGCTCCACCATGGCCTGCGACGGACACACAAACAAGCACAGCAAACAGTCAAATCCTCTGAGGTGGCCGCTGAGAGGCCTACCGACAGTTTCTCTCCAGTTCCTGTCATCCTGCCAGTTCTGCCGGCTCCCCGACCTGACCCCCGACCTTTATTTCACCGCACTTCCTCTTATGTCACATGCGGCGTTCCAGAATAACTGGAACTGGGAAGTTTACGACCTTGAGGCCCAGAGGATAAACAAAGAAAGGACAACATTTTTTGTAAAGTGACAAATTTAAAAAAAAAAAAACCTTTACTGGACTGGGCAGGTGGAAGAGGAAACCTCTAGTTAAAGCTCAGCACTGAAGGTTTTAGAACTCTGAAGAAACTCTGACATACCTGATAAACTAAAAGGCTTCAGCTTCTCAACTTGACAGCTATTAATGCAGATTTATAGCCACAAAACTGACAAGGGTGGAGGTTCTGTGACAGGTAAATGAGCCGAGTAGCCTGCCAGAAACTAAATTACCGACTACAGTGATGACTACACACCTGTGTGTTTCCACCGAGTGCTTTACTTGCTCTAAAATAGTTGTATACAAGTGACTAGATAAGAAGCCCTGGCATTGCTGATAAACTAAAACGGGTGTTGTTGCGTGAGTTCCTTGATTTGATTGCTATTAGTGCAGACGTATATCCACAAAACTAACAAGTACGAAGGTTTTCCGACAGCTAAATGGGTCGAGAAGCCTGCCAGAAGCTAAATTACTAACTTGAAACCTGTATAACTTTATTTGCTCTTACGCGGTTGCCCACAAATGACAGGATAAGATATCCGATAAACTAAAAAGCATTCGTTTTTTTTGATTTATCACCTACCAATGCAGATGAAACTAACAATTATGGATGATTTCTGACAGTTAAATGGGCTGAACATCCTGCCAGAACCTAAATTACTAACGTGAAACTTTATTTGCTCTGACACAGTCGTATATAAATGACTGGAGAAGATACTCTTGACATCGCTGATGAACAAAAACGGTCAGTTTCTTGGCTGACAGCTGTTAATGCACACTTATATCCACAAAACTAACAAGTGCTGAAGATTTGTGACAGTTAAATTAGAAGGTTGAGTCTAACAACAAGTAAAATGTAAGCTCCAAAGCGTATGCATTGCCACAGAGGGTTTCATAACATTGCTGATAAACTTAAATAGGTGTTATCAGTTTCTACAGACTTATATCCATAAAACTAACACACATGGGGGATTTCTGACAGTTAATGCGTTGAATAACCTGCCGGAACCTAAATGAATAACCTACATAACTTTATTTGTCGTGACAGAGTTGCACACAAATGACTGGAGAAGATATTGTGACATTGCTGATGAACTGAACAGTTGACAGCTATAAATGCAGACAAAACTAACAAGTATGGGAGATCTCTGACAGCTGAATGCGTTGAGCAGCCTGTCAGAACATAAACTGTCAAACTGAACCCTATATAACTTCCTTTGCACTAACATAGCTGAACACAAATGACTGGAGAAGATATGGAGATGAACTAAAAGGTCAGTTTCTTGATCTGACAGCTATGAGTGCAAACTTATACCCACACACCAAGATGTATGGAAGATTTGTGACAGTTAAAATGGAAATACTTGCCAATAACTTAAAAAAAAACCAAACCTTTGTGCTGCCACTGACACATTTATCTGCTCAGCATATCAGCTCTATGTTTAACTGCCTTTGAGACACACTGACAGGTGATGACAAGAAATGCAGTCACACCCAGTCCTACTAATGCAGAGCAGCTTAAGGTTGCCTGGCCTCAGAATAAAAGGAGTGACTCTGATTCTGAGCTGAAAGTTAAAGTTGGAGGTGATTTCTTGCAGCTTTTTTTTTTTTTACTCACCAGAAAGCAGAGCTGCGGCCAGTTGTGGATGAAGTACCTGTACGTATAAATTGAATAAGGCTCAGACAAGTCCTTGGTGATCAGTCTCATGATCCACGGCATCTGCAGCTCGGACTCGTAGCGGACGTATCGGATGCCGTGACCGTCGCCCTCCGCTCGGCCGGGGGAGCTGCTCAGGTCGAGCCGGGCCAGCTCCGCGGCCGGCGGCTGCTGCTGCTGCTGCTGCTTCGGGTCCCCGCCGGGCCCGACAGCGTCCGGCGGCTCGTCGCTCGGCGGTCTCGGGGGCTGCGTGTGGTCGAAGCTGCCCTTCCCTTCGTGGGCCGCCTCAGTCCTCGTGAAGCCCGGCATCCCGTTCATGCTATTGTTAACCAGCGGAGAGTGGCTGCCGTTTTTGGAGAAGGGGCTGTGGCCTTCGTGTTGGCAGTGCTCACTATTGTTTCTAGCGGCCGGAGCCCCCTCGTTGCTGCCGCTGCTGCTGCTGTCACAGTTGTCCACGGACGCTCTGGGATTGTCAGGCCGGTTTCCTGCGTGTTGGTGGCCGTCGGGCTCCTCCGAGGGGCTGGCCAAGCCGTTCAGCTGCTGCTGCTCTCGGGCTTGCATTTTGAGGTGAAGCGCCGCCGGGCTAGCCCTCGCTAGCATGTTTTTCTGCTTCTTCTTCACCGAGCCTTTCACTTCGCTTACCGGCTGCGACTTCTTCCCTGTCCCGGCGGGTACACAGTCCTCCCCGTGGCAGGCCGCCTCTCCGTCTTCCACCGCCGGCTCCGCGCTCCCAGCCCCGGGGAAAGGAGGAATCTCAGCCGGGGATGCGGGCAGTGCGCTACTAGGCCCAGGCGGCACTGTGGCCATCCCACTGCATTAAGGTGGAGATTCACGCTGGGAGAACGTTGAACACAATTTCATCCACGAGGCCAAGTGACACACAATCAATATACGACTTATTCGACCGAATATCGCATAAATCCAGCGCTTTTTCAGGCAATAGCGTTTCCGCTGTTTGTCGCTGCTTTCTCCTCGATTTCCCTGCTGCCGCAAAGTGTCGTCGCAGAAAACTCCATCGCGACAGACGGAGACGCTTTACGGCAGCCGAGGAACGCATGACAGTTGCCGCTCATTTTTCTGACACCAGGGTCAATGCCTGTAGTTTATTAACCACTGAAACAACAGAAGTGCTTCCTCCTTTATTTATTTTAATATTTGCCTTTCTGTTGCAACAATAGCATTTACAAATCACACTTTAAATTTAACTTTATGTCAATTAAAGTTACATATGATCAGATATTTTATATTGGTATGACAATCTCAGTAGTGGAAGAGTCCTGAAAGGTTCACTGCCCCCTCAGCTCAACAACCACTGATCAAGACCCAGTGGTGGGATGTAACTAAGTACATTTACTCAAGTACAATACTTACGAACAATTTATCATTTATGTTTACGTATTCATATACTTAGCTTTTTTTTTTTCCTTTTTAAAAATCACATACTTTCTTAAGTATTTCCACATTGTGCTTAAATATAAATTTTACAAGTTTTAAGTAATTCTTTGTTTTTCTACAGTCTAATTCTACTCCACTATATTCTGGATGCAAATATTTTTGGAACTTTGCACGGCTTCACAAGTGTTTTAAAACTTTTTCGTTTTTTTTACATTAATTGCGCACAATTATTATCAAATATAAATCAACTAATAAATTATTCTATATTATTGTAGAGTAGGCTAGCTGCAGTACGTACGCTAATTAAACATTTCTACAACACTGAGGTGGTGTAAATAATAATCAATGAGCAATTATTTATCCAATAATATAATGCATATAATTCTTCAATGGACCATTCTGCATTATGATTAATTTTATTTACTCATGAGTTCTAATTTTGCTTTTTGTTCATTTGTTTTATTTTAAGGTCCGCGTGAAGCTTTAGTTTAGTTGCTTTAAGAATTTTTTGACACTAAAATCTTTGTATTTTTACATATGTAGAATTTCAAATGGACTATTTTTATTGTAAAAGAGGATTTTTCCACAACAGTATTGCTATTTTATTTAAGTACATAAATACTTCTTCTACCACTGCCAAAATGAGCATCTTTGGCAGCAGAGGAATCTGATAGATGTTTTTTCCTTTGCAACTATAAATACGATACTGCAGGTTGTCCAGCAGATGTCGCCACTAGATCAGTTTGTCGTTTTATCTTCGGAAGTTTCTTAAAACTTGCCTGCATCTTAACTGAGCTTCCACTTCACTGCTTTCCAGATAAATATAGAATTTTTTACTTCACCACTTAGACTAATATCTCCATGAAGAATTTGTAAATTAATGAATACATATTAATACATGATTTCATCACAGCAGAAAGCGACTTGTGTCAACAAAATTAACACAACAGAAATAAACATAAACATTGCCCAGAGACTGACTGGCTGTCCTCTTCCATTCCTGGAGGAGATTCACAGCACCCACTGCCTCAGGAGAGCCCAAAGCATGATCAGGGATCCCTCACACCCCGGCCACCACCTCTTCAAACTTGAACTGTGAACTGTACAGTTGTTTTAAAATTGTTCTACTATGCATTGTGCACTTTTGTTTCCTGATGTTTTGGATCGTATACGAGAGCTTACGAGAGTTAATATTAAGTTTCCCATTACTATATAAAGTTATATGTGCATCACTTTAATGTTCTAGCTTATGATTGAAAACTACACAACTTTTTATCTGCTGCTTGTGAATTCCCCCCTCAGGGATCAATAAAGTTTTATCTTCACCTATAATATGACATCATAATTGATTGATTGATTGATTGATTGATTGGATGTGGTATTATTAAACTAAACCTGCAAAGTTACCAGGTAAATGTAATGGAATAAAACGTGTAGTATTTACCTCTGAACTGTGGTGGAGTGAAAGGATAAAGTAGTAGACAATTAAAACAGTCAAGTAAAATACAAGTAACTCAAACTTTATACTTAAATTTAGCACCTGTGTACATTTATTCAGTTAAGTATTTACAAGCTTTGCTTCAGTAAAAATACTACTACGAGCTTTAAATTGCTGTAAAGTTGAACTGTGAAGTAGTACAGAACTGGAAAACTCAAGCAAAGTACAAGTAACTCAAAATTTTACTCAAGTAAAGTACTTGAATAAATGTACTTAGTTACTTTCCACCTGCAGTTGAGTAAATGTGAACTACATTATAATACTTAAGTAAAAGAACTGCATTTCATTTCATTATGTCTGTGAAATGACAATAAAGTTGAATCACACAGTAACAATACTGTTACAACCAAAAGTCCTGCATATAAAACTTTACTGCAGTGAAAGTATGTAAGGAGTTTTTTCTTTTTGCAGATCGACAAAGTCCATCCAGGTGGCAGTGTTGCTCTATTGTGTCCTCCATGTATTCTGATGGTGGATCACTATTTGGCAAAGACATGGTGAGAACTTTAAAGTCAAAGTGTAGAAAACACGACACAAAAACTCACAGATGGAGAGATAGGTATGTTTTCCTGGAGAAACAGCGTCCGCATCCTGTTTATAAATATACATTACAGAGCGAGAGACGAAGCGATAGAGAGGCAGAGAGACGGCTCTTTTAAAGCTTAAGCCTCGAGGCTGAGAACTCTCTGAAGAGCTGGAATCAGACATGCACAATCAGTTCCCCTCTTCAAATCTCCTTTACAGGCCTATCTACTTGAACAGGCTTCTCTTAATTACTTTCTCCATCACTTAGCGAGCCGAGGCCGGGACGAGCCGCGGCAGCGTCTTGCCAGAGACATTTGGCTGGTTTGAACCCATATTTATACAGGCCTATATCTGCTTTCTCACAAGCCTGTCCCGGACTTTCCCTCCCCTCCTGCTTTCATTGTACGCTGCTCTTGTCTCTCGGTGGCTCTACCCCTTTCCAAATATCTCCAGGGTGTCGGTTGCATCATGTGACTGGTGTACTTGTGATTGCAGCACTTGGCACGAGCTCTAATCTACGAGGAGGAACCCGAAATACCTTGAAAAAAGGCAGCATGTAAAGAAGGTCAGCGTGGAGCTCTGGACGATGGGTCGACCGATGTTCTGTTTTTATTGGGGGCTGAAATGGATTATTGGTACTAAGGAGACAGATTACCGATACGTAGAACCGACATTGGATGAAAATAGTGGTGTCAAAATTTAGAAAAACACAAACTCCACCAAAAACTTCATTAAATTGCTTTAATTTCTTTCTGTTTTGCATTTGTTTAAAGCTGAAGCGCAGGATTTTTACATATAAATGAACATTTCTTACACTTAACCCATCACACAGCACTGATCAAGTCTTTGGCGCCACGTAAATTTCTCAGTATTTCACAGTGTACCAAAGTTTTCAGTCGTGTTTCTTACATTCCCGCGATGTCAAGCAGCAATAATTAGTTTGCCAGATGAGAAAAGAGTTGTACAGCTCAAGAAGTAAAGACAGAATATCTACAGCAGCTGAGAGTTTGGTGGAAAAAAACTCAGAAATGTTCAAGAAAAGTCTCCTATCCTCCAGCTGATAAAAAAAACTCAGTGTCCAGACGAGGGAAAACTGTTTAAAAGTGGAAGCGATCAACGTCAAAGTATTCATCACAAACGCTTCAACAGTGTTTGTGTAATAATTCTCCTTCTGCCAGAAGGGGGAGGCAAAAGTTTCGCATTTTGTTTATTTCAGGGAATTTTTCAACACTGAAAATTGTTTTTACAGGTTAGTCAATGAATTCAAACAATTAATTTTATACCCAAAAAAGCAAAAATAATGACGTAATTTCAGTTCATTTTGTCTTGACAAGCACAGGATGACAAACAGGCGAAAGTTAACATATAAAAATGCAAACTTGTCCATTTGAAGTGGAAACTAAAATGTAATAAAAATAAAAAAGGGGGTTTATTTATGTCAGTAGTACAACTCCAAAAAAAGTTTCTACTAAAGCCCTTAACAAAGTGAAAAAGTTTGGTCTGTGTGTTATTACAAACAGCTTATAGCGGAGGGCAACATGGTGGATGTTTCACAAGCATGGAGCAGCTAAAGCAACTTCTTTTCTCATTTTGGTAGAAGCTTTGAATTAAATTATTAGCAGCTAAATTCACAGCAGAAGAAGAGTTTGTCGGACAACGCTGCCGTTATAAAATCCGCATTTCAGCACAACAGCAGCTTGGAAGTGACTCTTGGTTATGATGTAATCCTAATGAACCTCATTTCAGTCATTGTTTCGTACGTTTTCTGTCTCTGACAACAAAAAAAGAAAAAATTGTAAATGAAAACAGCTTTTTTTTAAGTTCAGGTATATTGAAACATTGTATAAGTGAGCACAGAGAGCAGGAGAGAAGTATCCAGATGTAAAGTTCCTCTTGTGTGTTTTCGATTCAGGTCTTCATGCATTGCAGTGTGTTGCCACAGAAACTCTACGCAAACCACCTCTTTGTTATAATTTAAAGTTCTCCTATTGTTTCAAAGACTTGGAAAACTTTCACGCTGCACTGAATTGCTGCAGCCGCCATTTTCTAAAGCTGTAACTGCAGCTGATCGATGACTGGAGCCAAAAACAAGTGATGTCATGACACAATAAGACATGATACCAGAGAGAAGCATTTGTTACAAGGAACTGAAGCGGCTGTGTGTTGATGAATCTTCAGCATCTGTCATCAATTTGCAGACTAGTTGTTGCAGCTCTGCTTGAAATGACTGATTGGTGACCGCGGATACGAAGACCCGCGTCAAGGCCGAAGTAGAACATTTTGAAATTTGTTTATTCTATCAGAAAAATTTGAAAACTCGGATCCAATAATCAGTCGCCCCCCTTGTCAGTAAAACCCAGTTCGACACTGAACCCAAATTCCCTCGTCCTTCGGATCCGTCTCCGTCTTTCCGTCCATCTGAACCGGTCTCAGGGGCTGAAGGCCAAGCTTTTGGATCTCCGTCCTCCCTCCTCCTCCTCCTCCTCCTCCTCCTGTCCGTCACATTGGCCTGCTCCCCTCACTCCTCCACTTCCCCGTGTCCTCCTTCTCCTTCTTTTTTTTTTTTTTCT